GCTGCCGCAGCGCGGTACCTGGTGTATTCCCGCAGCCCCTTCAGGAACCACACGGCGTTCCGGTACCAGGACATGGCCGCTCTCCCGCCCGGCTGTTGTGTAAGCGCCGCCCCGCCCCCGGGCTTAGATAAGCCACTGGGGCGGGAGACGCCCCGGCAAGCAGCGCCCGGCCCGGCCCGGCTCGGCTCGGCTCGCTACAGCGCCGGGGGCTGGGCGCTCTCGGCAAGCAGCTTTCGGGTGGGCACCTGCACCCTGAGAGGGCCTCATAACACTCTGCTGCCGGGCGAGCTCCTGTCACCCCCGCGGGGCTGTAAAGAGTTGCCTGCCCTTGTCATCGTAGGGCCCCATCCCTGGCCCTGACAGGGGTGAGCGCCCCAGCTATATGGCGAGTCTCTCCCTTAGCCCCTGGTTAGCATGGATTGCTCTTGGGGGATGGTCCGGCCTTACAAAGTTACCCACTAGTCCAACGGACTTAGGAAACTTGCTTTGCTCTCTGATGAGTGTAGTTTGTGCTGCTTGCTTGCATACTCTATAACCTATTGTAGTAGACTTTGCCCTGCTTACATTGACCTTAAACGATTGTGAGCCCTAAGGGCAGCAGAAAGTTGGCAAGTTTCTGCCTGCTGTAGATCCCACCTTCCTTCTGTTTGTTCTCCAGGTTTCTGCTTCAAACAAGAGCAAAAACATACAGATTTGTCAATGAAATCTATTCTTTATTTGGGAGTGTTAGTCTATCTGTGAATGAGTGAGTGTGTCTGTCCAGTTTAGGCAGGGCATTAGGGCAGCAGTTGCTTCTGGGTGCTGTTGTCTAAGGCTATCTGAGATGTGTGCTTAAAGGGACCTCCCTGGACTGCCATTTCTCAGCTGCTGCTTGCTTGCTACCTTTCCAAGGGTATGTCTACACTGCCACCCTAGTTTGAACTAGGGTGGCTAATGTAGGTGTTCAAACTTGCAAATGAAGCCCGGGATTTAAATATCCCGGGCTTCATTTGCATGTTCCCGGGCGCCACCATTTTTAAATGCCCCGTAGTTCGAAATACCTGCCCACGACTACACGCGGCATGGACTAGGTAGTTTGAATTAAAGCTCCTAATTCAAACGACCGTTATTCCTCCTGCAAGGAGGTTTAATGGTTGTTCGAATTAGGAGCTTTAATTTGAACTACCTAGTCCGTGCCGTGTGTAGCCGCGGGCAGGTAGTTCGAACTACGGGGCATTTAAAAATGGCGGCGCCCGGGAACATGCAAATGAAACCCGGGATATTTGCAGTGCGTGGTCTTGTTGCCCAGCTTTTGGACACCATAGCACACTCCTTGCCATGGAGCCAGAACGGTCTCTGGGCATGCAATGGCCCCACACTGCCATGCTGCAGTTTCTGCAGCACTTTGTGCAGGCTGCCTTCATGGAGCTGTGTGTCTGGCTCATCTCTGCCCTCCGTTGACGGGACACCCAGATACAACCTGCCATCCCCCTGGAGAAGCTGGTTGCCAATCGCCATCTGGAAGCTCGCCACCCCAGGCAGCTACCGGTCAGTGAGCAACCAGTTCTGCATGAGGAAGTCCACCGTCGGGACCCTCCTCATGGAGTTAAGGCTCTCTCAGGCTGTAGTCCCTGTGGGGAGTTCTGGAAAGGGGGACCCTAAGGAAAGGGGGGTGAGGGTGCAGGGGTTGAGCTGGGGGGGAAGTCCCGTCCCTGGGAGGTTCTGTAGTGCCGCCCTAACACAGCCCTGAAAGGTAGACGGCCTCATGGGGGGTGGCTCCTGAGGTGTTAGAGTGGGGGAGAGAGGGTGAGACTCGGGGACCTTTCAAGAGCTCAGGCACCCCTTCTGATTCTCTGTTTTGTGTTTGTTTATCTCCTTGTGCAGGTGGTGAGGGCCATCAACACCATCCTGCTGTGCAGGGTCATCTGTCTGGGAAACCTGGACCCTATCGTGGCTGGATTTGCCACCCTGGGGTTCCCTAGCTGTGTGAGAGCCATAGATGAAACCCATATCCCCATCTGAGCACCAGAACATTGAGACACGCAGTACATTAACAGCAAGAGCTATGTCTCAATGGTGCTGCAGGCCCTGGTCGACCATCGCAGACAATTCATGGACATTTTTGTCGGGGACGGTGCACAATGCCCGCATTTTCAGAAATTCCAGCCTCTGCAGGAGCTGGAAGCGGGCACATTCTTCCCCCAGTGTGACTTGCGGGTTGGGGCTGTGCAGATGCCACTGTGCAGGAGCTGGAAGCGGGCACATTCTTCCCCCAGTGTGACTTGCGGGTTGGGGCTGTGCAGATGCCACTGTGCATCATGGGGAATGTGGCATTTCCCCTCACACTGTGGCTGATGAAGCCGTACACCAGCCACCTGGACACCAGCAGGGACTGATTCAATGCCTGCCCGGCCAGGGCCCACATGCAGGTGAAATGTGCTTTCGGGAGCTTGAGGGCTCAGTTTGGGTGCCTCCTGACCCACTTCGATGTGGGGGAGCACAACATCCACAAGGTGGTCTCCCTATTTTGTGTTATCAACAACATTGTGGAGAGCAAGGGAGAGGCCTTCCTGCTGGGGTGGAGGGCAGAGGCCGGCCAAGAGGGAAGGTCCTTCGAGCAGCTGCCATCCGCCAGGCCCATCAGGTGGGGGTGTGAATCCGGGAGGCCAGGAGGGAGAATTTCTCTGAAGGACCCCAGCAACTCTCCCCAGGGCCTCCCCACTAGGGGCCGGTGCCAAGCCTCCCTCTGTCTTTTCCTCCCTTCCCCCCTTCCCTGTAAACTCAATAAAAACAATGTTTTGTTTTGAAAACATAAATTTGTAATTTTTTTTCAATAAGAGTAACTGGGGAGGAGAGGGGCTGAGAATCTGGATAAGAGGAGGGAAAAGGAGGGTCAGAACCTGGAGAGGAGGAGCGAGGAGGGGGGCTCAGAGCTGGGAGTGATGTTTGGTACAGCTGGAAGTGCCGCCTTGGTCTGGGGACTTCGGCAATCTCGGGAGTGGGGGAACCAGGACAACAGAGAGGTAGGTGGGGAGGGCTAGCGTGGGGTGAGGCTTGACAGGGGAGGGGAGGGAGATGAGCAGGGAGAGGAGCTGGGTGTGCCATCATCTCCCGGATGGTGACACATGTTTTGGCCCTGCTGCACCAGCTCAACCCACATTTGGCTCTGCCATTGAGCATCCTCCTGGACCTTCTGGGCCAGGGTCTGTTGCATATCCCAGAGGATGGCCATGTGCTCCCTCATTAGGTCTTCTTGGACCCTCTGGCACCTGCAGCTCCCCCAAAGTCAGGAGGCTGGCTCTGCTGATGTGGATCGCCCCTCAGCAACGGCTTGTCCGGCTGTGGAGAACAAAGAGGGCGAGGCAGTCAGTGATCCATGCAGACACTGTCCCTGAGCCCTTGCCCTCTTCTGTGAGCTGCTAACTATAGTCCTTGGGCCAGGGGACAGTGATGTCCCAGAAGCAAGGTCACGTGTGGCCTGGACAGCAAGCCCTGCCTCACAGGGGCCCCGAGGCGCCCAGGGGACCATGTTGCCCCCCCCACCCCCTGCCACATCCTGTTCCATAGACAAGCAAGAAAGGAAAGTGTCCATCCATACTGGGATCCCACAGGCAGGAGAGGGGCCTGGAGCAGCCTGGACTTCCATGGGGGCCACGCACACACCTGCGCCTGGCAGTGCTGTCCACGGGAGCGGGTGGTGCTTCAAGCATGCAGGCATGTCCGTGTGCTGTGAGCAGCACTCCTCAGTCTGTGTGCGGCTGTGCGTGTGCCGTTGTCCCCAGCCTCCTTCCAGCAGTGGTTAGTGGTGGGAGGGGTTCCCCCCAGGGGGCAGACGTGTGTGTGGCCTCCCCAGAGCCTGGGAGCAGGAGCCCGAGGGTGCTCCGGGGCTGCCTCCTGGGGCTGTGTGGTGCAGGCTGTCGCTGCTCATGTTTCCACATGCATGGACTGCAACACGATGTCCAAGCCAAGCAGGCCAAGCGATGATCACCCCCAAGGGCCAATATAGGGCAGGGCGAGTGGGGCGACCGCCCCGGACCCCATGCTTCAAGAAGCCCCGCGTATGCGCAGTGGCAAAGGGGGGCCCCACGAAATTGCCCCTGATCACCTCCCCAGGCCCTCAGCACCTGCCTTCCTCACCCTGTGTGTGTGAAAAACTCAGAGCACTCACCTGATGATCCCTCACTGGCCTTGGAGGATGCCTGGGAGACATCCAGGCCCTGAGGTACCAAAGTGAGGGTGACAGTGCTGGCCATCTCCTCCTCCTCCAACTCCTCCTCCTCCTGGCCTGGGAGCCCCAGGTGGGCAATTACGGGTGTCTCCAGCCCTGAGTCCATGACCGGGGTGGGGAAGGGGCTGCTCCAGCCCCCAGGATGTGGTGGAGCTCAGTGTAGTAGGGGCAGCAGTACGGTCCTGCCCCAGAGTGAGGGCTGCGCTCCCTTGCCCTGGAATACCCCTGGACAAAGCTCTTTAACCTTGCTCCTTACTTGCTCAAGACTCCTTCAGTGGTGGTCCCTCACGGCCTGGGCCTTGGCCATCTGGCTGTATATATCGGCGTTCCTGCACCTGGAGTGGAGATCCTGTAGGGTCTCCTCTTCACCCCAGATGTCTAAGAGGGTCAGGATCTCCACCCCAGACCAGGATGGTGCATGCCTTTTTGTGCCCTGGCTGGGTCCTGGGAGCCCTGTGCATGTTCCCCGTGAGGGCCACTGGGCTCTTGGGGGGCTTGAGGCTGGGCAATGGGTCCAGGTAAGTGTGGCAGTGTCAGCTGTGTGGTGAGGTGCAGCTCCCTGGGCCACCTTCCTGCCACAAAGCTTGTCCCAGGTGCCTGCGGCGTTAAGAACTAGCAGGAGACAGGAACTATAGAGTTGTGATGGAGTGGCCAGCAGGGCATCTGTGTTATTTCCTGGAGGCCTCTTTTTTCGACAGAACTCCTACTTCCGCGTCCACATGCGCCATGATGTCTGATGTTTGTTAAGGACCGAATGCATTCTACTAAGTAGAATGTGAGTGAGGACCTTTTCAGGGACCAATGAGTTTGGCCTATAGGATCTGAGAGAGGTATAGGAATCCTTTGCACAGGCTGCCTACTAATTTTACAAACACCTCCTATCCCCTTTGGATTAAAGGAGTGGAATAGAAGGAGCTGTACAGTGCTTAATCATGCCCATAATCTACTCCTCTTCCCCCAAACACAGGATAAGACTCTGCTTCATAGTGGGGGTGTGATCCCTGAACAACTTCCCCACAATCGCTGCCTTCCCTTAAGTACAGGAATGCATGGGGATCTCATGCACCGAGAACCCTCCAGGAGCAGGAAGAATGGATCAAGAGCTGCCCTGTTATGGTATCTTTTGAATTTTGAACAGAAAGTTTCAAGCAATGTTTTAAAGGCTTTTCAACATAAAGGGAATTTTTTAAAACATGGAATACCATAGAGATGGCTGTACTACAGCATATTTTAGCACATTTCATGCCATCTCCGGAGGGTAGAGATTTAATATATAGAGAGAGCCATAGCAGAGCTGAAATGAAATTGTGTTTAATAAAAGATGTTTAAGAGCAGCCCCAAGGTAATCACAGGCTCTTTTGCTACCATTTTTGCAGTGGCTAAAGCCTCAATTTAAAGTACAAAACCTGCTTCCTCATTTGGTTCCCACAATAGATCTGACAGCTTCTGTGATGTTCTGTTTCCCTTGCATTCATTCATTTATCAATGCTCCTGCCCCCATTAAGTTAATCAGAATTTTGCCATTGATTCCAATGAGAATCGGAGAAGGCTCTATGGCCCACGTTTTCGAACAAGCTCAGCAGCCGTAAGTGGGGAACCAGAATTTCAAAAGAAATGTGCAGTGGGCTGAGTTCTGCCTCTGGGAATCAGTGTCACAACAGGAGCTGCTGAGAGCAGAGCACTTGAAAATCTGGCCTTAAGTAACTAGTTTAAGCTGAGCTCAATGGATTCAGAAGTCTGTCAGGCCACGTCTACACTACAGAAAAGACTGAAGCTGCCACATTTGAGCTTCTGGGGTTCGAATTAGTATGTGTAGTGAAGACCTGTTAATTCGGACTGAGAGGGCACTCCCATCAATGCTGGTAGTCCTGCTCCTATGAGGACAGGACAGTGCCAAAATTCAATTTAAGATACTTCAACTCCAGCTACACAATTAATGTAGCTGGAGTTGTGTATCTTAATTCAAACTTATCCCCTAGTGCAGACCTAGCCCCAGGAACTTAGGGAGAGGCGCTTACTACTTCTGTTTACAGGAGTGGAGGCAGGGAATCTGGTAGCTAGGTAGAAGAGGCATGGCCAAGCTGTAGAGCCTTATGAATAAGTCTGAACTGCTTATGACAGTGTCACTGGCCAAACTACTTCAACTGCAGAAGAGGTCAAAATCCTGAAACACAGGATGGCTGAGTCTAGACTGGCAAGATTTTGCGCAAATATTTTTTACGGAAAAGTTTTTCTGTTAAAAGTATTTGCACAAGGGAGCGTCTATACTGGCATGTGCCTTTGCGCAAAAGATTTGCTTTTGCGCAAAAGCATCCGTGCCAGTGTAGAGGCTCTCTTGCACAAGAAAGCTCTGATGGCCATTTTAGCCATCGGGCTTTCTTGCGCAAGAAATTAACTTGGCTGTCTACACTGGCCCTCTTGCGCAAGAATACTTGCGCAAGAGGGCTTATCCCTGAGTGGGAGCGTCATAGTATTTGCGCAAGAACCACTGATTTTGTACAGTACAAAGTCAGTGTTCTTGCGCAAATACTTGTGGCCAGTGTAGACAGGCGGCAAGATTTTGCGCAAAAGCAGCTACCAAAAATCTTGCCAGTCTAGACGCACCCGATGTGTATAGAACAGAGGCACATTTTCTTTGTTTAGGGCATATACATCCAAGAGAATGATAAAGCTGTCGGGGCAACTGTCAGGATCATTGCTTTCCAGTGAATAGTCAGAATTTCCCCAGAACAAAGGCTCTTTGTTCATTAGGAGTTCATGTGGTGGGGTACTGTCAGCTCAGTCAGCCCTTCCTATGACAACCTCCTCTCTTTTCTTTCAGTCCTTCCAGCTGATACTGGAAACAAGTCAATTATTGATAAGCTAATCTTCCAAGAAATTTCTCTCATAGTAGGTGACAATCAAGCCGCACTTGTCATGCAAAAGGAATGTGTTACATCTTTCCATCGGAAATATGGGTTCGCTTCAGTAAGATTTTGAGGGCCTTCATTTCCTGTCGACCTTTATGGGAGCCGAGTACCTGGATCATCTCTCAAGATCAGGGCACAATGAGAGTGCCTGCTAAGACTCGTGATAGAAATGTAGCCGTGTTAGTCTGGTGTAGCTGAAGCAAAAAACAGGACTATGTAGCACTTTAAAGACTACTCGGTGCTGCTCCGATTGAAGTCAATGGGATGTTTACTACTTCTTTGCCAGTAGGCTCAAACCTCTGCTATAGCAGCAGGAAGAGTTAAAATATTTTTATAACCTATTACACATACACTTTTGTATATATCTTTATATAGTATAATATTCCTTATACTGAGTAGTTGATTTTCATCTTAGAAAAAATACATTTTTAGGCTATAAAGCCTCAATATTTTAACCTCAAACATTGCCATGACCTCAAACATGTGTTATATTGCCACACTAGTAATTAGTACTTTCCCCTCATAAGTATTTTTCTGTACTGATATTGCCTTTAGTTAGTTGTGCGCCTCCCTACCCTACCTTTCTTTTTCCATAAAAAAAATCACATGTTACAGAGGGGCCAATCAATTTCTACTTACCTGTCTGAAATGGGCATACTCAGCATATAGATCCTACCCCTCCCAGGCAGAAAAGGGGGGGGCAGATGTCTTTGCAGCAATGTTGCTATGTGAATATGGAAGTGTATTTGCAGGCATGGGGCAATGGTGGGATGAAGATAGAATGGGCAGGTCAGTAATGGAGAGGGAGAGGGACATCCACCCCCCCAAATACACAGTTTGGTCATCAGGACAGAAAGAGAACATCATGACCCAAGCAATATGATAATTCTGCTGGGTTTCTTAGCCACTGCTGTTAGTTTTCCATATGATAGTCCTCATCCAAAGTCAAATGAATTCAATGAGAGTCTTTTCATTGACTTGACTAGGCTTTGGATCAGATCCAATAATGAGTATGACTGGCTTACCCAGAATTTTGTATAGTTTGTTATTATTTTTGAACCTGTCAAAACTCACTAGGGTTGAAAATTGTGGCTTGATTTTTACTATTTAGGCCCTTATGCTACCCTACATACACATACAACCACCCTTGACACCAGTGGGCCACATATGCATCTGCCAGTAGGGCAACATGCAATTCTTACTTTATATAGCTGCTGTCCTCCATGTGAAAATGACTAAAGAAATGCATTGCAGTTTCTGTTCAGGAGCAATCCACTTGCTACAATGCTGCACTTCAGATAACTATTTAATTTAGTCAGTGCAAGGCTATGAATGAGATAAAAACATTTATAAAAGGTTTATTTCACCAACATGTGAGAAAAAAACAAAGCCCCAACAAGAAATAAAGCAGCTCTTAGTGTGGCAAGTTATAAGTCTGAAATGAGTACAATTTACCAAATATTAATTTGAATCTGTACAAAACATAAAGTATCAATGCAGTGTGCAAAACCAGGCAGCACTAATATAAAAGATTGGTCAAGAGTACATTGCTTCCATAACTTCAGTAAAAAGGAGAACAGAGGCCTTGATTTTCTATTGTCTTGCACCTTGTGGACTCATTTAGAGCTTAGTCTTGCATTGGACTGAGACTAAACTCACAAAAGGATATATGGGTGCGTCTACATTGTACTGGTATTCTGGAATAATGGCTGTTCTTCCAGAAAAACAATACTAGTGGCCACACAGCAATTACGTTATTTCGAAAGAAAATCAAAATAATGGAGGTCTTTTTCTGATGTTGGTAAACCTCATTCCACAAGGAATGATGCCTCTTCCAAAAAGGCTATTTTGGAAGAGGGATGCTTCACTGCTGCTATGTGAGGGCCATTTTAAGTTATTCCTCCCCAGTACCTCCTGGGGCTCTAAATTGAGATAGCATATCCACATTACGAGAGCCTGCCTCAGACTAATATTGAGGCTTCCCTGTAGTGTGGACACTCTATTTCAAAATAAACTATTTGGGCAGATATCTTCCAGAATAGCTTTTTCCGAAATAAGCTTGCAGTGTAGACATAATAGATATCTAACTGCTACTTCATAGGAATATCAGGAATCTCAAGCCACAAGAACAAAGTTTGTATTGCTAGTGGCATATTATTGACATATTCCATGTGTATAGGATGTTGGCCTGTCTCCCCAGCACAGGAAAGAACATGTGCCAAAGCAGAGTGTTCCAAGCCCTTTTTCTCAGGGATTTATGTATTCATGGCACCAACAACCATCAGCAAAAACCCAGTTAAACAGTAAAATATAAATCCAACAGTTAGATCAGGTCTTTTCCTCAACTCTTTGGGAGAGTCTCCCTGCCTTTAGCAACCCCTTCTTTGCCTCCCACAGGCCATCTGGAAATTATGGATATTTTTCTTTTAAAAGCTACAAATAGACCTTTCTTTATCCAGAAGAGAAGATGATTTAAAAAGCACAATTGCAACTGATTTCCTCTACCCCATTTATAATGTTGGCTGGTTCAAGAGAATTAGCTTAATCGTTATTTGTTTCATTTCAAGACGAAATTACAATTAAGGAAGGACATGGCTGATATTCAAACTACTGTAATTTTATCCCTCAAATTACAAAATATTCAAAATGTTAACAAAAGGTATATTTTGTATCTTCACTGATTAAACTTTGGGTTGCAAACTTGACAGCTGTTATAAACTAAGCAGGGTCAAGCTTTGCTAATACCTGAGTGGGACATGACCTGGGACAACCCCGGATGCTGAAGGATGGGGTGTTGGTGACTTTGTGTGTTTAAATCTGAATCAGAACCAGTGCCTTTGCAAGGTTTTGGAGGTGTTCATATGCACACCTTCCATCCCACGCAGACTTTTATTTCTGGATAAGATGTATGCAAACCACTAGCAAATCCAAATTCTCATCTCATAATGATGGTAGTGTTCACACTTGATCTGCAGCTCCTGTGCTGAGTGTAAAACCCTATCAGTCTGATTTGGAAGCATTTTATAGTCACTGTGTAAAGGCCTAAATGGCCACAAAAGGTTCCTGGCTACTAAAGAATTAAGCCCAAAGTGAAAGACAATTGAGAACCAGTCCTGCTGTCTTATAAATGAGACTTAACTATGTGTGACCATTAAAGATCCTAAGAACTTTTTGCAACAATAGAAACTATTAGTGCTTGATTCTTCTGTCTTATGAATGTAGTTTGGGTAACTATCTCCTGCCTTTTTAAACTCCCAGTGCAGTAACAATTGAATATAGTATTTTTCTTCACTTTGTGTCCTAACATTTTGTGTAATCTTGTTGTGCATTGATAAACAGCTGCTGTGTGTGACTCAGAGATGGTTGCATGCCAGTAATGGGTGAAGGGATTCCCACTTATGTAAAATTTGAAAAGTACTTAGGGAGCTTTATGAATGAAAGGTCCTGTACATGTAATATGAAATTATTCAGATGGGATGATCTGAGTTTTATGGAGCAGATCTGGGATCAGTAGTGGAATCCAATAGCCAAAATTATGAGCCCATGGAGCACCAGGGGGGATGGAGAGCAATTCGAGCATTCCATCAGTGATGAGAATGATGCTTAGGCAATGTCAAATTCCTCTAGAGAGACTGTGGTGAGTGTGGTGAGAGCAAGTCTTTATATACTTTGGAAAAGTGTGGCTCATTCTCCTTATCTGGACCTCTCTTGTCTTGGGTGCATGGAACATGGGAAGGGATACCAGGGCCACACCTCTGAACAGACATGAACCCTCTGAACCAGTAAGTGCTGCCAGCACTGTTAGGTGTCCCTCTTCCCTGCACTCCTGAGCACAGCCAATCAAATTATAGCGTCTTTCGAATGGCTGCTCAAGGGCTAGGGAATCGTACACTCCAGCCTAACTCTAGCTCTGACTTGCTGGAACAAACCATACCAGCAAGGACAGGGCAGCCTCAATAATTCCCTACTGAGCCACTTATAAGACAATGCTATCTCTTGTTCCCTGTCCTATATAACAACCGAACTGTGTGGAATGACTTGTGACCCTTTTCTAACATGCACTTCTTTGTACCAGGGCTTGAGCAATAAGGACTCAATTGTGTCCCAAGCTCCATATGCAATTGCCACTGACTTTATTAAGAGTTGTGTGTTCATGGCTGAAGGCAGAACTGTTGCTTAAAACTTTACATAAAGTTCAGCCTTGATCCCAAATGGATCAGATTAAGCTATGGGACATTTCAAAAATTGAACTGCAAATAGAAGTTAATTTACAAACATCTCCCTTACAGAGGCACACCTAATTTTGTATTATTTCTATGTGGTACAGGGGGAGGTTATTGGCTGCACGGTATTAAAAAGAACATCCAAAATGCATGTCCACATTCTGTTATCTTGGTGCTGCTGAATGCCTGCATATTTGAGCGCAGATGTCAAATCTAAGCAAAGGGAGAATTTTGATTTGATCATCTAAATAAGGTAACTGCATAACAGCAAAAGCAGAAAGAGCACGTCACATGCATTAATCAACAGAAAAACAGCATCTACTAGGACCAGTAAGAAATTAGTTTCATTACACACCACAGGACAACTTTCTCCATGCATGGTGGTGCTTCTAAAGCAGATACTTCTGCTGCCTTAAAAGTTGCTTTCATCACATCTATTCACTAACTATAGATTTACACATGTACATCATTAAGGAGAACAAATCAAAAGGACCCCCTGAAATCACAACCAATGCACTGCCAAAGTAAACACATTCATCTGTAATACTGATATCATGCCCCACATCATTTTGTCACATTGACTAAAATAGTCATTTTCCCTCTGCACATCATCAGGGGGCTTTAAAGCACTCTTTGTGCTACCTTGATATTGTTAAATGATATTGTACAATAGATAAAGTGATGTTGTCCCACATAGACTTTGCTTTCCCTTTTTCTGCCAGAAGGGAAGGATGATCTTGTGGCTGTGGCACTGGACTGAGTCAAAAGGTCTGGGTTTAGTTCTTGCCACAGACTTTCTGCGCAACGTTGGCTACATCACTGAATCTCTCTGTGCCTCAGTTCCCTATCAGTAAATTAGGGACAATGATACATCCTCAAAAGGCTAATGAATATTGAGGAGCTTAGAAACCACAGTGATAGACCACATACTGCCTCTACAGATGGAGAGGAAAATGTATTATGCTGAAACAGAATCCATAAGGGTCTAAGAATAAGATTTGAGAGAAGTTTGCTATCTATTGTACTCAGGTGCAGATTTCAACACTTCAGATAAAACCCCTAACAAAACAAGTGTAAAAGTTAGTGGGAGAGCAGCTTGCCATCTATAAATGGCTGTAATTTTATGATACTATGATGTTTTATATTAAGAGAGCCAGTTGGCACTGGCTTCCACAATTTCCTCAGTATAATTGGCTGCTGTTTTATATATATATATATATATACACACATTCACACACACACACTGGTAAATTATTGCCTTTTGTTTTTCATTGGGCACCCTTTACCTAACAGCTGTGGTTTATTTTCTGTGGCTTTTAATCCTCTTCTGCAGCATATCTTCGCCTAGAAAAACAATATATACAGAAGCTACAAAAGATAAGCAAAAACAGCACGGTATGGCTAATGATAAGAACTCCAACAGCAAAAATGTACAGGGTTTTATCGCAATAATCCTGGGGCTGGTGGAAAGGTGGAATGAAATTTGGCAGGTAGACAGAAAATACCCAATAGTTCCCAAGAATAAACCAGATAAAGAGGAAGAGGCTGAGTGTAAGATGGATGTAGTATTTGTGAGCATTCTGCCGCCATGGATACTCATCGTCATCGTCGTCATCAATCACGACAGATTTGGAAAGCAGTTGCCTCATCCTGGTGGAGTCATAGAGCAGAAGTGTCACCTGTGTGTTGTAGAGAAAAAGTGAATAAAGGGAGTCAATGGCTTTAAAGAGTCGTCTCTGTGAGGGGCTGAACCCTCCTCTCTTACGGACTGCAGCAAAAGCAGAAGGCACTCAGTACCTCTCCTAGAGCTGCTCAGAATGGTCAGGACTGACCCCTCTAAAAGTCTCCAACAAAATTAAAATAAACAGTGTGGCACATATTCTCAGAGAAAGCTGAGAAGCAATAAACAAAGGGGGTGCTGCTTTAAAAGTGTGCACTTAATTTTCTGTATAGCATCTACAAATAATCCACCAAGATGAATGAACCAGTTTTAAATAAGATAAATGATTAAAACCTTGAACTGAATCCAAACTAACGTACTTCTAATGTTTGCCAGTTCTGTTAAGTTTTCTTATTTCATGTTCTCACTCTGCTGCATTTTCTAGTTTCAGGCTGGGACAACAGTGAAATAGCCAGAGCAGCATAAGGATGGCGAGGATATTCACTCAAACAAGAAGCACTAGAGATCTTGGGATATTTTGCAAAATAAGGGATGAAGGTAGCCCTGCTAAAGTTCAGGTAATCTTTCAAACATTTAGGTTCTAACTAACCTCTTGAGGAAATTTCCCAGAGAAACACGGACAAAAGGGAAACAAAGGATCAATTCCCTGTCATATACCTCATGAAAATATCTCCACTGAAATGAGTAGAACTATGTGCGAGAGTGAATGTGTGAGCAAGGTTCAGTCCAAACACCCTGATCCATAGGTTATCTTAGATAGCCTCCATTACCATGGAATCTGAGTGCCTCACTACAGATGATGGGTTTATTATCCTCACAGTACCATATGAAGTCCTCTTATCCCTACTTCGCAGATGCAAAACGAGGCCCAAATACTCAAAAGTACTTAGGCTTCTAACTTCCACTGATTTCCATCTATTTTAATTAATACTATTAAGTGGGGCAGATGTGAGCTGTGGAATTAAAAGACTGCCTGGCTACCATCTGGGAAAGAGGGGGAGCAGGAGTCAGTGGGCTGGAGGGAAGCTGCCCCAATCCCAGCCTGGAGTGGGGTCCAGCTATCCAGCCCTCTAGAGGAGCTGGGAACAGCCAAGCACTAGCTGTGGGGCTTTCTTGTCAATTTTACGGCCCCTGCTTATACACAGACACTGTGTAACCCACACATCTAGGCTATGTCTACACTACACTGCTCTTCCGGAAAAAGCTACGCAAATTGTGAACCACAATTTGTATAGCTTTTTCCGCTTCTTTTTTCGGAAGAGGCTTTTCTGACATTTGGCACGTCTACACTGGGCCAACTGTCGGGAAACCCCCTTTTTCAGAACATCCCTTCTTCCTCGTAAAACAAGGTTTACAGGGATGCTGAAAAAGTACGTCTATTTTTCCGAAAAAAATGTCGGAAGAACAGACGCGTTCCCTGGACGCGGCCGAATTTTTCAGTATCCCAGAAAAACTCTGTAGTGTAGATATAGCCCTAGTGTGGTTCATTGTCCCATGCGGTGGCACCTAGATTAGATCAAGAGCCCTATACAACCTAAGATAAGAGCCAGTTGGCTTTTAGTTCAAACAGTAGAGGCTCCTACACTAAGCTCCAGAGGTCCCACGTTCAAATCTGCCTGGTGGTGGTTACAACTGCATCACCCTAATTACCCCAACATAAGCCTTCTGCCTCTTACTGAGCTGGAGTTATGATGTTGGTGTAACAGGACACTTATATCAGTGGGAGGAAGACTGTAGTGTAGACAGTGACATAATTAGGTCAACATAAAGGCTATGTCTACTTGCCTATGCAAATGAAGTGCAGATTAGCATATTGCCATGCTTAATTTGCATAATTTATTCAAGCTGTTTTTGCACAAAAACAAGCAGTGTTGACAGGGGCTTTTTGCGCAAGATCCTTATGCCTCTCCAGATCATAAGGATCTTGCACAAAACAGGGTTTTTGCGCAAAACCCCCTTGTGCAAAAAGAGCTTCACAAAATTATGCAAATGAAGCATGGCAATATGCTAATCTGCATTTCATTTGCATAGGCACGGCCGGCAAAGCCGGCAGCGTAGACAAAGCCAAACTGTTTATGCCAGTTTGTGTAGTGTAGATCAGCCCTAAGTATTGAATTTACCACCAATTTGGGGGTTGTACTGTGGTTCCTAATAGTCTGTCCTGAGCTGGTACTTACTTACTCTTGAGCCACTACAGGACAGCTTGGTAAGATCCCTCAGTGGCTATTAGCCAAGATGATCAGAGATGCAACCGCCTACCCTGGGTGTCTCTAGACCTCTGACTGCCAGAAGCAGGAACTAGATAAGAAATGGATCACTCAATATTGCTCTGTTCTGTTCATTCAATCTGAAGCATCTGTCACTGTCCATTGTGAGAAGACAGGATACTGGGATAGATGGACCATTGGTCTGACCCAGTATGGATATTCTTAAATTCTTATGCATGAGTCTAATCGAGAGCAGAATTCAATGGTTATATTTAAGCTGATAAACATAATGCTATTGATGGGCTATATTAAAACATGAAATATTCTAATCAAATTATTTTGATCAAGTAGGACATCACATTATAAAATATAGGTCCAATCCTGTTTCCATTGCAGCCAAAGATAGAACCCTGATTGTGTTTGGTAGGAGCAGTATTGGATCCCCTTACAGTGTCATTTTTAATGAGAACTGACTGCAGGCTAATCACTAATGTCTAGCACAATTTTATTACTAATTACAATTTTTATTGTAATCTCTGGCCAACAATATCAGGAGAGCCTCAGATGTTATTAGCAGTCACTGAGTTACGAAGCAGCTTTTGACATTGAATTTAGTTTGGTTTCAAGCAATCATATCAAAATGGTGGAAGTTTCCATTATTGGTGAGGGTCCCGGTTCATTACCATTAAAAACTCCCAATTATGATTTAATTTTCCTAAAGGAAAACTGACCTGTTATTAAACTAACTCTCTGATTATGTTACTGCTTCAGGAAAGTCCAGCTGAGCAATCATATGACTGAGCGTTTAAGCAGTGGAATCATTCACTGCAAATGATTTTTAACAAGCTTAAGCACTTTCTTTTCCCTCATTCACATATTTTGCTGAGTTCAGCCCATTGGTGGGGGCTATTCATTTCTCACTCGTGGACCATATACTGAGTCTGTGCTGAGTAAATATAGGGTGTGTAGAAGCCTATTAACAAAAACGTTCTCTGCCTTTTTCCTCTTCATTGAACCTGGCCCCAAAAAAGGAGCAAGAAACATATCCAAGGGGAGCATAGCAGCAAGCTATGCTGCTGTTTTCAGATGAGACTGGCAGGCTTGGCCTCAAGAGACAGGTTTCTCGTGCCTGGAACATGAGTCTCTCACAGCAGGGGAATCCTACCTCAGTCAGATTCTCTTAGGAAAGGTGAGGGAGACTAAATAGAATAGCTAGTTGAGAAAAATAACATTCCATAGTCTGTAACCCTACCTGTGCCAGCAAGCAACTTTGTGAAATTGTTGGAGTGTCTGTCATAGGTTTTTGTTTGCAGTATAGATGGCACTACACAGTTATAGACTGTGTTACAGCATTACAGTCTCCATTGTTACCTGGGGTGTCACACAACTACTGGGGTACCCCTGACTGTCAGACAGCCATGCACTGGCACAATGAGATTTGTAGAGTAGCTCAGATCAGAGAAAGAGCTCCACTGTTTTTCTGTTCAGTATGGCTGTGTCTAAACTACACCCCTCTCTCAGTAGAGGGATGTAAATTAGACGTTTTGAAAGTGCAAATGAAGCGGAGATTTAAATATCCCGTGCTTCATTTGCATAATCGCGTCGTGGCGCTGTTTCAAACAAGCGCCATTTTGAAACTGAAAACGCAGTTTAGACACAGTTTTTTTCGACAACGGGGTGCTTTTTCGAAAGATCCTGTACTTAAAAAACGGGGAGTCTCTTCAGGAAAAGGGGAAGGGTCTGAGGAGTTTAGGGAGACTGTTAGAAGAGATAGGGTCCGATTCATTATTGCCCAGCACCCGGTACAGTCATTTCCACCAGAGAAAAGTGAGTACTTGGAGCATGTGAAATGCAACTGTTCTGATTTGATCATATTTTGCGCCCAACTTTTGCATTGGTGGGAGTAACTGCATACTGTGCAGAGCAAAGTGAGTAAGTTTCATTGACAGCTGAATTCCTCTCCTGTCAGCCTTCAAAGCAGGGGCAGACTCATTTCAGAACAGATGCTGTTTGTGCTTGTTACATTCAGTTTCTGTTGATTAAATAAAGGTACCTTTTGAATCTAGCTGTTATTTAAGTTTTTCAGTCCAGGACAAGAATCTTCGTTCTCTTTCTAGGGAGATTAGACTGCTAATACAGGATTTCCAGCCTTACAAAGTTATTGTGTCATTTACATGCAGTATATGATATTACATTAATCATGTATATCTGTGCTAGCCACTGAGATTGCTACCTGGTTCACCTGTCCTCACTGATAAAAGAAATAAAATGCAGCCAACCAGAAGCCATTGTCCTTTGTATGGCTCAGATGTTCGCTGTTGGTTGAGCTCCACAATCACTGTGTTCTCCTGAATGCAGTCATGGTACTGTATAGTGGGAAGTTGTTACTTTTTTGTGTTAACATCCATTTAATTATAATAAATCTATCACTTGATAGAATGTAAATGAAATCATTGTAGCAGAACATTTCCATGGGATCAATGCTTCTTGCTTCAGAGATAAAGGTGCCTATTTTCTGTTGCAGCAAGGAATTATTACAACTCTCAATTAACCATAAGAATGTAATGTAAATTCTCAAGTATCCTGTCTGTGACGGGGCGGGACCCGCGTACCCCAGAGAAGCGGGCCCAACCCGCACTGACCCCGCGATCGCCCTATCGCTGATGGGGACGGCGCAGGGCTCGTTTGGGGCGTGCGCCCATTGTAGCGCGGCGGCGGCTCAGCTGAGCGGTGGGGCCGAGAGAACCGCAAGGGAACGAGCGCGGGACGGCGAGCGCAGGGGGCGGAGTTGGAGGGGTTCACGTCGGCTGACGTCACTGACATCAGGCGTCTCCAACGTGGACGCGGGAAGTTTAAAGGGAGTAACGGAGGAGCCAGGGGAGAGAGGAGCAGGAGGAGCGAGGGCAGTTAGGAGAGGAACATCGAGAAACCAAAGGCGACTGAGGGCGGGGGGTAAGTAGCCCAGGGCAGGGCGCGGAGCCGGCGCACCGGTGGGTTGAGGGTCATTTACCCCTCCAGTGGGACAGGTCCTAGCGACCCTGTCCTTAGGGCCCTGGGCTGGGGTCCGGGAGAGAGGGTGGGCCCGGACCCCCCTCCCCGCACTTCCATGGTTGTAAGTTCGTGGTCACGGAGAAAGGGGACGATAACTGAGGACACAAAGGGTAAATAGGGAAGGGGACCGGACGAACCCCCACACTGTCTGAACACAGCTCACTTAAAATATCTACTTTATGTTAAGAGAGGTTGTGCATCTGTCTGTGTGTCTGTCTGTCCATCTGTTTGTCTATTTGTCCAAGAACTCCTCTTAAATGGTAAGAGCTAGGACTACCAAATTTGGTAAACAGCTTCCTTTTATCATAACTTAAAGCCAAGTCAGGGTTTGGTTGTACCAGGGTTATGGGATGTGTGTGGAATGTGACTATTTCTCATCAAACAGAAAGGGAGAGCTATGATAGCAGGAACAGCTACTGTCCATCTGTTTGTCTATTTGTCCAAGAACTCCTCTTAAATGGTAAGAGCTAGGACTACCAAATTTGGTAAACAGCTTCCTTTTATCATAACTTAAAGCCAAGTCAGGGTTTGGTTGTACCAGGGTTATGGGATGTGTGTGGAATGTGACTATTTCTCATCAAACAGAAAGGGAGAGCTATGATAGCAGGAACAGCTACAGTC